CTCTGCCTGGGAGACGCCTCGCCGTTGTGGAGCGTGTTCCTCGTGGAGGCCATGTTCAAAGGATCCCACCAGCAGGGCATGTATTGAGTCCCATGTAAACCCAAACTGCACCATGGACCACAAACAAACAGGCCGTAGACTGCATGCAGCCCACGGGCAACGTGTTGAGTAGCCCTGGTGTAAAGACTGCAGGAGGTAATAGGAGGTGGTGTGTACTGGATACATAGCCCAAGAGGTGAAATGAGGGGAAGTGGATGAGCAAGGGGGCAGCAGTGAGAGAGAGGACGTGTAGCACAGCGGAATGAAAGATATTTATAGATGTCAAGAACTGGATGCTAGCGAGTGTGAGTCAGAGAGTGGAATTAAATAAACGCAGAGCTGTGGGAGGAAGCTGCGCACTGAGCAAATCTCTGATGACTCTGAAAGGAGGAGACTCAGGGAGGCCTTTTGTCAATGAGCCAACTGACAGATGTATTAAAACATTTCTTTTCCATAAGGAAAAAATAGAGGCAATGCAGAGGGAATTTACCGGTTAGTCAGAAAAGTCAGAGCTGCTGCTGGTGCAGTGCTTGCTAACCTAAAAGATAATGGAAAACACCCGCCCCTTCCACTGCATGGTTGCGTGACAGAAGCCATGAGAAAATCCCAGCCATATCCCCTTCCCTCTACAAGTCCAGCCAGAATTGCAGCACAAAGCATTAAAGGGTAGTAAGTTGAGGACCTGTCCCCTAGCCCCCAGCGACATTCAGGGCATGCACTGTGGTGTTATGCAGGCAGGAGGGAGCCATAATACACACCCCACCAGGTGTTTCCCAGCCTCCCTGGGCCATTCTGCTCTGTGTTCAGTGGCAACCACAGCTATACTTCCATTATACATAATACATACCACTGGCAGGTGCAGTGCCACCCACAGGAAGATGGGAAGAGACAATTTGACTTGGGCCCCCTTACTGGGCCCCCAGACCTACCTGACCCAGGTCACAGTGTTATTCATGTGGCCTGGTATCCCCTTCATCACAACAGAGGGGGGGTCACCGTGCCAAACCTGAATGATGCTACAAAGTGAGTGTAGCTCTGTTGTGCTATATGAAAAAGTCCTAGGTGCCCTTGTCTGCATCATGTTTCAGGCCCCGGAGGAAGGGTAGTCTGCCAACTCCAGGCATGCTGTACATCCCCTAATCACCTTGATCCATCCAGCACTGCTTCAGCAGGGTGGCTCTAGTGCTGGCCTTACCTGCCGCTCGATTGTGCCAGACCTCACAAAGGGCTAACAATGTCAGTTTAACACCTCCACGAGACACGGCCTCTGGCTACAGCTCTAACCAATCAGTTGCCATTGGCAGCTGGAGGTGGCTGGTAGCAACAGTAGGGTTGTAGGAAGAGGATTTACTAATGTTGTGGGTCAGGTTACGTTACACCTTGTTTTTGTGAGTCAGAAACAACCAATGAGTTTCATTCAAGAGAAATGTAAAGAAGCCATTGTAACGACGCTGTTGAAACAATGGCAGTAGCACCCAAGCATAGACACATGAAAAATGTGAGTCCACACTGACCCATGTGGCTGAAGGGATTTTAAAACCAGAGACTCTGGTTTAGGCTGTGTCTATACTGGGAATGTTTAGCAACAAAAGTGCTGTCAACTGCAAAAACTGCCAAGAGTGAAAAGCAGTCAGGCCTCCCACTGTCGACATTTCATGGCCATATTGCTAGCACCCTGTCAACAGATAGAGCAAAGCTATGTGGGTAAGCATCCCACAGTGCAGTGTTGTGGGAAGGCAGAGCTGCTTTGTGAATTCTCCATGCTAAGGAATGTCAAAGCAGCACAGTGTCCATTGATTCTTTCACGTAGAGAACATCCAGTTTGACCAATATATATAGTAGAGGGCACTGTTGGCATTTGATGGCATAGATCAAATCACTAGATGAGCAGTCAAATGACCCTTTGATTTTGTGGCTAGTGTTGTTTGCTCCAGTGATGAATTCGTCATTGTAGATATGTGGGCAGAGTTGGCATCTTTTATGGTTGCAGGGCTGGGTTACTGGATGCTTGTGATGTGGTTGTGTGGCATGGTTATCAGAAAGAATACGTTTCAGGTTAAGGAGTTTTCTGTAAGCAAGAATAGGTTTTTCTCCCAAGGCCTCTGACAGTGAGGGATCATTTTCCAGGATGGGTTGTAGATTGCATATGATGTATTGGAGGGGTCTGAGTTGTGGACTGTAAGTAACAACAAGAGGAGTTCTGTTATTTTCTCTTTTGGGTCTGTCTTGAAGTAGTTCATGTCTGGGTACTTTTTTGGCTCTGTCAATTTGTTTTTTCACTTCCCCAGGTGGGTGTCTCAGATTTATGAATGGTATCCTTCCGGCCTTATCCAGCCACTGGCTTTAATCTTTATCTCCTTAGGTTTAGCACCCTTTCTCCTGATACTTTATGAATAAAGGTAGGGAGGTGTGTGACAGAACATCTTTCTTCCCCCCCCCCAAAAAATTGTGCTATTGCAAAAATGTGTTAAACGGGCACGTATTAAATGAGTAATTACTGTATAAGACGAGTAAAATATCCACTAGAGAAAAATGTTTATCAGGCATTTTGCCAGCAGAGACTGGTTTTCATACGTGAATTTAAGAAAAGTTACTCAATCCTATCAAATGTTAATAGAAAGTAATAGAAACTTTCAAGCTTACACAAAATTGTTCTTCGGATTACAATTTGCATCTAGCTAAACATCCGTTCTTCCTTGAACATCCATAAACTTGGAGTCATCACTGACTGCACATCTAAAATATTGTAACTAATTTAAACTACAGGGAAAGCTTAAAATAGGTGCATGGATAGTGCTTTTTATTTTCAAAGTACAAGTCTCCATTAATTTCTTAATCATTTAACAGTAACCTGGTCACAGTGCTAGAGAATATACTTTAAGGAGAAACTTTGCAGGTGCTTTCCATAAGTAACATCCATGATTTTGTGATACAAAGCTCAAGAGCATTTGCCTCTCTTAAAACTGCTCACTTTGCCACCTTTACTGATTATATTTATCCCACAGGAAGTCAGCTTTCTCCACTCTTCCCTGCAAGAGCTGTTCCCACTTGAAACATCAGCTGGATCCCTGTTGACCAGAATCATCATCATCAGCCTCTAACTGCTGCCTCTAATACAGTTGGCACCAGGTGGCTATGGAAGTTTCCAGAATGCAAAAGAAATCAATAAGTGGAAAGGTTTCTGAACAAGCAGTTCTGACGAGGAAAAGCATAAAACTACAGGTAGTATTGATTTTATAGCATCCCTAGGGAAGCAGCCTGTGGTGGCACTATTAAGCTAGTTTGAAGTCTGGAGATTTATTTTATTGAATGATAGTGTAAGGTTATCTTTGTCTCTTCCCATTGCAAACCAATCCAATACGTTGTCATTAATCACTGTTTTACAGGAATACATTATGGACAATGGCCAGGATTAGTAATTTTCAATGCAAAAACTTCAGGAGCTTGTGAAAAATGTTGTGTTCAAAGAGGATGAACAATAGAAAAATTTGGTTGTAGATGGAAATACAATGTATTTTCTATTTCTAAATCACAAGTGTTGACCTATAATTTGTGTTAGAGATAAAGCTATACTTCTGTGAATGACAACTCAGGGAAATTCTCTTTTCTTGTGATCATTTGACTTTCAAAAGCATTGTAGGATGGTATTTTTAAGGGAGCGCAAGGGAAAGTACTTGTTTAATTTCCACTGCAAGCTAATGACAAAATTGTCAAACGTCCCTAGGGGCAGATCTAGACTGCAGATAATAGCCAGGACTGGCCCTTGTCAGTGGATGCAGGCTTGTGGGGCTCCAGCTGAAGGGCTGTAAAACAACCATATAGATTTTTGGACTCAGAGTGGGACCCAATTTTTCAGATCCTTTTCTAATGTCTGATGTCCCCGAGATTAGACTCCAGTCCAAGACCAAACATTTACACTGTAATTTTGTGACCAGCAGCTGGGGCTGGATTAACTCTTCTGCAGTCTCTGGGCTAGATTTTGGAAGCCCCCTAGGCTCCAGGATGGGGCCAAAAATGAGAGGTTCAATGTGAGGGACAAAGCATTGGTTGGGGAGCAAGGTGGGGGTACAAGGTGTAGGTAGCAGGGAGGATGCTGGGAGATGGAAGGAGGCAAAGGATTGGCATAGTTCTCGGTGGGACACAGGTGGCTCTGCACGGCCCTGCACTTACAGGCCCCACCCCTCCACTACTCCCATTGGTTGGGATTCCTGGCCAATGGAAGCAGAGAGGCTGGAGCCTGCAGGCAAGCACTGCTAACAGTGCCAGCCAGGGGATGGAGTGGGGAAATGGCAGCACTCAGAGCCACTTTCCCCGCTCCCTGCCAAGGAAAGCTGTAGAACCTGTAGCCCTTCTCTTGATCTGGCTCTGCCTGCAGCCCAAGCCCCATGAGCCCAAGCCAGATGACACAGGCCAGCTGTGGGTGCTTAACTGCAGTGTAGCCATACCCTAAGTGACTTAGGAGCCAAAGTTCCTACTTGAAAGTAGGAGTAAGGGATCTTCTGGAAAAGAGCTTATTTTCCGCAAGATCCCGTCTAGACTGGCACTTTTCTCCGGCAAAACCCCGAGCCGGAAAAAAGCGGCAGCCATGTTCATGCAAATGCCGTGGGGGATATTTAAATCCCCCGCGGCATTTGCAATTCCGACTGGTCTCATTAGCATCCCTTTTCCGGAAAGAGGTGCCAATGTAGACACAGCCTGGTAGTATAGGGCTGGAGATAGTTTCCTTTCCCTTGTTTGTGGAAAGCCTGATGCTGCATTCATAGTCACTCATTGCCTTGCAGGGTACTCTTCTTGCAAGGATCTTTACAGGCCATGCACGACCAGTCTTGCCTGAATACACCAATATGCAATCACATCTGGATGGAACACTTCTGGAATTCTGTGTTTTCTGATTATTCTGATTTAATTTTTCCTGCTTGTGTTTTCTCTGGAATGAGGGATGCATCCAGCAAGAGATAATCTACAAGCAGCACAATTTATTTTTCATACTTATCCAACATGGGAGCATAGCCAGTTCTTAAGAGAAGCTGTCTTTGATCAAGGATGTGTAGTGCAGCTGCAGTGGCAGATTTATGTCATGTTTAAATAAAGGTAAGTCAAGTGTTAGATACAAAGTTTTCCATCTCCTAATAAGGAGAACCATATAGGTGCTATGAATGAAAGGTAATTGTTCTACTTAGGTCACCACTTACTAATCCAATGCTACAATACAGAAGCAGTGATTATCACTATCTGCTCTTTCCTGCATTGGTTTTACTTAGGGCCAAATGTTCAAACATAGGTGCATAAAGCCCAATGTTTCTAACTTGGGTACTTACAAATAGGCACATAAATAAGGGCCTGATCGTGACATCTTTAGTTATGTGAGGTAGCCCTGTCTTTCCCAAGTTAGGTTCAACAGGAATATGTGTGGGGACTATACAACACAAGTATGGGGCTCACATGCCGACCCAACATTTTGAAAGATATTAAGCACCCACGACTTTCATTGATTTACATGAGACCCACAAGCCCAAACACTATAAGGGCTGCAGGACGGGGATCCAGGTTTCTTCAATTGACCTAGATGAAGTTGCATAGCTTAAATTGACTTTTGGTCTACTGCGGAGAGGAAGAGGAAAAGGAAAAGGGAGAGGAAGAGGGGGAGGAGGAGGAAGAGAGAGAGAGAGGTCAAAATTCAGTGCCACAATGATCAAAATTCAGTGCCACAATGATATCATGGAAGAATATGCTCCAGACTAAAACATGTTAACTAAATGCATGAAATACTCACAACACTGCTTAAATAGATATTGCAGGTTACCAGTTATAATGTAACAGAAATATAAATAAGAGAAGAATGTACTGCCACTTGTATTGCTAAATAAAAACATTACAGTCCATGAATATAAGCATGACTCGGTAAGAGCAAATGGACAGTATTAAGTTCATTACAATGTGTACTTAAAGGAATTTTACAACTGGAATTATGTACAGCAGAGTATTTATTGTACATTATTTTAGCATTGCTTATAAAAGAACAGTCCTTATGACATATGAGAAAAAACTTCACTTATTCCCTCCTCACAGCCAGAATATTTATTGCTTAAAGCTCTTTTCCTTTGCTGACCTGATGGCTTATCTAACAGTAGCTATTTAGTGTGATAATGGCGTTTGATATATTGGACACAAACACCATTGTCACACTCCACAGCTCTGGCAGTAAACAGTCCACAGGAGTTGAAACACAGACAAGTCCTGAACTTCAGTGTTGAGACTGTGGGGATCTGCAACAAACAGAAAGGATCACAAATGAAATACGAAGGATGGCATCAAGTTTGAAGAATCAGTGATGAGCCACAGTCTACACTCACATTACAGTATAGTCTAGGCACACTACTATGTTAGAATGCTAAAGCGAGGTGATAATCCAGAATACCCGTAAGGTAAAAATGGCAACTCCTTTCCCCACACAGCTGCTCCCTGTGTGTGTATTTAGTGTTTAGTTCAAAGCTCAGTGTAGACAATAATGGACTTTGAATCAGGCCCTAAAGGCACAGTCCTATACCGCTGAACCCAGTGGAAGTTTTGTCATTCACTTCAGTGGAGGCAGGATCCAGCCTTCAGTGATTAAAATATTTATTCTTCTTTTACACCTGTCAGCACCACAGATCTAAGACTGCCCAGGGAGATTGAATTGTGTTCTAGCCCTTCGCCTACATCACCAGAATTATCGCCCACCAGGTTGCTATTAGTTACAAGTGCTCAAACCCATTTCATTTTTATTATGATTTATGTGCATCACAGTTGCACCTAGAATCCCCTGCCGTGGGAAGGGCCCCACTGTACGAATACATAGTAAGAGGGAGTCCAAGTATCGAAGAGCTTACAAGCTAAATATACAACAGGCAAAGGGAATGGTGTGGGTGTGTATGTGGGGTGGAGCTGGTGAAATAAATGTCATTTCCCATTCCACCCCCTTTTGCAGATGGAGGATTGAGGCCAAGAGAGACTAAGTAATTTACCCAAGTCACAGTAATCTATAGCAAAACGGGGAAATGAACCCAGCTCTCCAGCCCTGTGCCTTAACCACAAGGCCATCCTTCCTCTCAAGGTAGGCTCGCATGCTACATGCATCACCATGGTAACGACTACACGCAGGCAACGGGGCTGCACAATTATAACAGCAAGCAAGGTTTGCCCTTCGGGACCTGAATCAATGTTGGTGATGCAGGAGAAGAAAAGACCTCAGATATTCTGTTCTATGCTTTGTACATTTTTACATCACATTCATCACTGTAATATCTGAGTGTCTTCCCACAGCTCATTAAGCAACGTGACTAATCACTGTACTCTGTTTCTTCTCTTGGTGCCAGAAGTGTGAGCGCAAGAGAGCATTTTGTTTCGGTAAGGTGGCTTGGGGTTTGATTGTTTTTTTAATGCCCATGATGATATTTCAGGTCAAAGGTGGCAATATTAGGAAAGACTTTGCACTTGGAGCAGTACATGGTGGGCTGTGTGGTGGTCTTTAGCTACAGGGGGACTCATTCTACACCAGGCGTTCCCAACCTGGGGTACACGTCCCCCCAGGAGGTACGAGAAGCTTATCAAGGGGGTATCGGGGAATATTTGGTAAATAACTAGATTATCCTAATTGAAATATTCCAAAAGTAGTAGTGTTAGTGAAAAAGTTGTGGATTCTAGAGTCTAGAATTTATTTCCTTTCATATTGAATAGGGGGTATGGGAAGGTTTACTAAAAGCCAAGCGGGTACGGGGACCAAAAAAGGTTGGGAACCTCTGTTCTACACTTTCAAGATCTGGCTCTCTAAAGCTCTGTCTCCTACACGGACAAACTTTACACTTGTGCTTCAGATTCCAGACTGATAACAAAGCTGGACCTTAGAAAAATATCTTTCTACTTTTAAAATGAGTTCTTCTAGTGTGGAGTCACTGAGGCTACGTCTAGACTGCACACTTCTTGAGCAAGAAGCTTTCAGAAGAGATCTTCCACAAAAACATCTTGCGCAAGAGCGCATCCACACTGCATGGACGCTCTCTCGAAAGTAAGCTCTGATTGCTATGCACTGAATGGCCATCAGGGCACCTGTGGTTTTTTCTCTCTCCTCTTTCTGTGGAAAAAAATAACCCTCTTCTCCATCCACACACACCTTTCTGCAAAAGAGCTCTTTTGCAAAAAGGCTTTCTTTCTCATAGAATGAGAAATCCTTAAGCCAGAAAAAAACCTCTGTTCTTTTGATTTTTTTGTGCAAAAATGCACTTGCGGTGTGGACGCTCCGTGAGTTTTTTTTAGAAAAACAGCCATTTTTCCGAAAAAAAAAACTCTGTAGTGTAGACATAGCTTGAGTCTTGGTCTGTACTAGGATGTTATTTCAAAATAACTTACTTTATTTTGAAAAACAAGTGGACCATCCACATTATAAAGCCCATTATTTCAAAATAAGGAGCTGGTTATTTCAAAATAATAACTCCTGCTTTCCATGAGGAATAACGCTTATTGCAAAATAGTTATTTCAAAATAGCTGTAGTGTGGACACACCACTGCTACTTCAAAATAATTACTCTCCAGAGTCATGGAATCATAGAATACTAGAACTGGAAGGGACCTTGAGAGGTCATCGAGTCCAGTCCCCTGGCCTCAAGGCAGGACCAAGCACCATCTAGACCATCCCTGATAGATGTTTATTCAACCTGCTCTTAAATATCTCCTGAGATGGAGACTCCACAACCTCTCTAGGCAATTTATTCCACTCCGACAGGAAGTTTTTCCTATAGTCCAACCTAAACCTCCCTTGCTGCAAGTACTTTGTCATCCAAAGTAATTACTCCCCAGTGCTTCCTGGGGCTCTAATGCCCATCCACATTAAGGGAGCCTGCCTCGGACTAATTTCATGGCTTCCCTATAGTGTGGACACGCTACTTTGAAAGTTATTTCCAGAGTTGTTATTTCAAAATAAGTTCTTAGTGTAGACATGCCCTGAGAGCTTTTCCTTCATGCCCTACAGCAGGGCTACTCAACTTTGGAAGCCCTGGGGGCCACAATGACACTCACAACACATGCCAAGGGCCGCAACTTAAGTGAGATTGCATATACAGGCAGTCCCCGGGTTACGTACAAGATAGGGACTATAGGTTTGTTCTTAAGTTGAATTTGTACGTAAGTCGGAACTGGCTCCAGATTCAGCCGCTGCTGCTGAAACTGACCAGGGGCTGACTATAGGAAGCCCGAGGCAGAGTTGCTCTGCACCGGGCTTCCTGGAATCAGCCACTGATCAGTTTCAGCCGCAGCTGACCTGGGGGCG